TGGGTTGACCTGGTTGGCTGCTGCACGCATCAGCTCGAGCTGCTCATCAATGCAGCGTGACGCCTCTGCCCTCGCACGAGCACACTATTTGCAAAGTCTGGAATAATCTATGCAATCTGGTTCTTGTGCATGCACTGTTGCAAGGCTGGCGTCCCAGCGCCCTGACAATCCTTGGTGGTGCCTTGTGTACTCAGCCCGTGTTTGTCCTCGGCTTGTTGCTCCCCAGTGGTATCCATAGGAATTGACTTCCTGCGCCCCCGAATTGCCGGGTGACCAAGCACACAGCTACATGCATGCGAGTGACAGTCCCCCAGCCGATATGAAGTGTTAACTGGGTTGAAATCTGAGGGCTGCCGCAGTCGAAGAAGTATCAGTGTCTGGAAAATCAGTGACATCATCTGCCTTCAAACTACTTGTCGAGCTCCGGCTCCCGTACCATTCAAACAGGGCTGACCGCGTGCAGCACTGCTCACCCTGCCCGACAGATGAGCGCCCGCCGCCAGACGTACACAAACGGGGACGGTTGCGTTACAGAGCACGCAGCAAAAGCAAGTGCTGCGTCCGACAACAAGAATGAATGGGCGAGCGTGAGGGCCGCATGAAATATGTTCTGAAACCCCAAAAAAGCCTGCTTTCAAAAGTTATCCAGCAGCCCGCTGGGAACCTTAAGCTGTCCTGAGCTTAAAGCTCCGCACGACCTTGGCTGCCGAGCCCTTCGCCCCCTCCCAGCCTTCGGCGGTCGACGACACCCCGCACACGTATACGTAGCCGCGCTGCGCCACCGATGACATCACCACGTGCAGGTTGTTCGGGGTCGTGAACTCGTAGCTGCTCGCGGAGGGTTTTGGGTTTGTACGCAGGTTGCGGACACGGGGGTGGACGGCGCGTAAGCAATGAGGCGCGCAGGCAGCCGAAGGGGCGAGAGAACACATGGTCATGCCACCTGCTGTCAGGAAAAATCACGTCAAGAGCCTCCAAGGCGCCCCCTTTGCCTGCAGCGCTCGCTGCGCCGCGGCCTGCTGCGTGCTCGTCCTGGCGCCCGCCACCCCTCGCCCACACTCAGGGCTCCCCGGCCCGGCCCGGCCCGGCAGGCCCCCACAGCCCTTGCAGCAGAGACACGACCAAAAAAGCTGAACATAAACACACCAAAACACCACCCCGTGGACGCTACCACAAAAAGCGCAACCCAAAGAACGCACGCGGCGCTCACAGATAGTAGTTGCGGAGGCGACGGACGGGCAACAAACCGCCCGCTCATGCCCGGTGCAGCCCGGCTAAATCACACCGTCGACATCCCAGGCCCCATCCCCCCTGCGGCGCCCGCTGCCCCGCGCGCTGCTGCACCCCCTCGCGCCCGCCGCCCCGCGCCAACACGCGCCCCTCCCCAGCCGGCCCCCAAAGCCCTTGCAGCAACAACAAGACTCAACAACGCGCGCCACCCCCAAAGAACCGCTGCCCAAAGAACGCGCGCGGCGCTCACAGATAATAGTTGCGGGGCGGGATCTCCACCGGCCCCAGCAGCGTCTCGCGCGGCGGCAGGGCGTCGGTCACAGTGGAGGACCCCAGCAGCAGGCTGCCGCGCGGCAGCAGCAGCTTGGCGGCCTCCTCGGCGGTCCCGAACTGAGACAAGTCGCTGACCTGGCGGTGGTTGTGTTTTCGGGGAGAGGGGGTTAAGACGGGGGAGGGCGCGAGACGTGGCGGTGGGGGCGGGCAAGGGGTGGTGTCGGCGCTGCGCACACCAACGCGCAGCTGCACCCGGGAGCGGAGGGACAGCAAGTCCCTTGCGTTTGCAGCATGCTCGCATTACGATGCCGGGATGGATCCCCCTGCGGCCCCTCGACCCGGCGAGGCTGTGGTGGACCCATCAGCACGGCCGGCTGCTGCCAACGCCACCTCCCGAACACGCGCGCGCACGCACGCTGGCGCCATTTTACGCGGCCCCACGGCGCACAGGAACACCACCCTGTGGCTTCCAGGACACACGCCCGGCCCGTCCAGGCGCCACTGGCGCCTCGCCAAAGACGACAGTAGCCAGCCCAGGGGCCGGCCGCCCCACGACGCCCCTCACTGGGCTCTTGTTAAGCAACAAAAAAATGCGACGGGCTGTCGAAACATCAATGTTCATCATCATGTCTTGATGATATCGAGAGATCCACCCAGACAAGGGGTCAATCAGTCCCCCACCGAGGGGGGCCGCACCTGGGTGAGTGATCGCTGGAAGTTCTGCGCCCGCCGCACCAGCACTGATATCGACACCGCCGCGTCGGGCGACTCCCAGCGCGCCCTCACAGGGCTGCGCTCAGGCTGCGGGCCGCGCTCTGTGACGGGCGGGCCGTGAGGGACAAGGGTTTGTGCGTGTGTGGAGGGGGTGAGGGTGTTCCAGCCAGGGCTGCACGTGAGCTGTCGGGCCGACGCCTGGGGGCGGACGATACGCAATATCATGTGCCCGCTGACCGGCGCACGCAGCTGCTGGGCCCGCGTGCCAGCCACCGGCTGCAACCCATCCCCCCCCAGGCCTGCTGGGTCGCGGCCCCGAACAGCTGCCGCCCCGCCCCAAAATCCGGCGGGGGCGGCGGCAGCGCGGAACGGCGGGTGGCGACGCACCCACTGTCTGGATG